CTATGTGTGTCTGTACTTATGTGTGCGTCTGTTCTTGTGTGTGTGTGTCTGTGCTTGTGTGTGTCTGTACTTGTGTGTGTGTGTGTCTGTGTATGTGTATATATGTGTGTGTGTGTGTGTGTGTGTGCATTAGCCCAGCTCACTAACAGAGATAGAGCTTTCCAGGGACAGAGCAAGGAACCTGGTGAACAAGGTGTTAAATCTTTGACTTGCTGGCTCACTCCGAGTCTCTGGGGCGAGCCATGTGATGGGCTTTTGCCGACAGCCAAGGGAAAATTTGCCTGCGACCTTTAACCTCTCCACCGTGCGCAAAGCATAGGAACGCACACTTCCACACACCTTGCACGCGTTTCCCCCCCACCCCCAGAACTCCGTCCATCCTGTAGACCTGCCCCCCTGCCCCTGCTCCAATGAACCAGCTGGGCTATGGGCTGTGGGCAAAGGCTGAGCAGGACACTCAATTATTTGACAAACAAATTTGCTGCGGTGTTGAGGGAGCTGATTGTTTAGGATGTGTCAAGATTTCAGTGAAGAGCAGTCTGAGAAAAAGGCAAATCAGGTAGTTTGGGGAAAAGAGACCAATCAGTTTAGGAGCTGTGTGACTGACAGTCGAACAGGTTTGGGAGCTCTGGTGCTGAATATGCAAATATCAGAGTCACTTGCCTCATTGTATTTGAAGACACCGAATTTTAATGGCAGGTTCTGAGAAGTCACCACGAGCCTCTGGGACCTACTGTTCCTGTTCCTGCCTTGGTCTACGTCCACTAGAGTTTAGAAGAATAAGAGGTGATCTGACTGAAACCTGTAAGACCCTGAGGCACTTAACATGGAGGATGCAGAAAGGATGTTCCTATTTGTACAATTTAGGGTGAAGATCATTCCCACTTGTAAAAGCAAGGAAGAACGAGAGGGTGTGGACTAAAAGCGATTCTCAAATGTGACAGGAGAATAAACATTTTCTCACAGCGAGTGATTCGGGTATGGAATACACTGCTCAGAAATGTGGTGGAGGCAGGTTTGACTAAGACATTCATAGAATCTCCTACGGTGTAGAAGAAGGCCATTCAACCCATTGAGCCCACACTGACCCTCCAAAGAGCATCCCACTCAGAAACCACCCCCACCCCACCTATAACCCCGCGATTTCCCTACATACTATGGGGCAATTTCCCATGGCCCATCCACGGACTGTGGGAGGAAACCGGAGCACCCGGAGGAAACCCATGCAGACGCGGGGAGAATGTGTAAACTCCACACAGACAGTTGCCCGAGGATGGAATTGAACCTGGGTCCCTGGCGCTGTGAGGCAGCAGTGCTCACCACTGAGCCACCATGCCACCCATGAGCCACTGTACCATCTATAACCTCAACACTGGGGAGGAAAAAGCAGGAAATTGGCACTAGGTAATAGTGAAGAGCTGGTGTCAGCATGATGGGCCAAATAGCCTCATTCTGGGTTGTAACAATGCAGGTGAGGAGCTGGTGTAGGGGAGAAGGATTCGCATTTTTGGATCATTCTGGGCTAGAAGTGACCTGTATAAGAAGGACGGATTGCACCTGAATTGGAAGGGGGCTAATATACTGGCGGGAAGACTTGCTAGAGCTGCGTTGGAGGATTTAAACTAGTAGTGAGATAGTGAGGAAAGTGATCAATCTGAGACTGGTACAGTTGGGAAAAGGAGTAAGTCAAACAGACAGAGAAGGCAGGAACAAAGTAGAGAACGAGAACTGATAAATAAAACTGAATTTATTTCAATGCAAGGGGCCTGACAGGTAAGGGAGATGAACTCAGGGCATGGTTCGGAACATGGGACTGGGATATCATAGCAATCACAGTGATGTGGCTCAGGGATGGACAGGATTGGCAGCTTAATGTTCCAGGGTATAGGTGTTATAGGAAGGATAGAAATGGGGGCGGGGTGCAAGAGAGGAGGGAGCGAGGCATTTTTGATTAGGGATAACATTACAGTTGTATTTAAGGGGGATATTCCTGGGAATATGTCCAGGGAAGTTATTTGTGTGGAACTGTGAAATAAGAAAGAGATAATCACCTTATTAGGATTGTACTATAGACCCCCCTCACCCCGAATATTCAACGGGAAATTGAGAAACAAATTTGTAAGGAGATCTCAGTTATTTGTGAGAATAATAGGGTGGTTATGATAGGGGATTTTAATGGTGTTAAAGGTTTGGATGGAGAAGAAGAATTTGTTAAGTGTGTACAAGAAATTTTTCTGATTCAGAATGTGAGTGTATCTACTAGAGAAGGTGCAAAGGTTGACCTACTCTTGGGAAATAAGACAGGGCAGGCGGCTGAGGTGTCAGTAGGGGAGCACTTTGGAGCCAGCGACTATAATTCAATTAGTTTTAAAATAGTGAAGGGAAAGGGTAGACCTTATCTAAAAGTTAAAGTTCTAAATTGGAGGAAGGCCAATTTTGATGTTACTATTACTCGGATGGTGATGGCTAGCACGAGGGGACATAGCTTTAAATTGAGGGGTGATAGATATAGGACGGATGTCAGAGGTAGGTTCTTTACTCAGAGAGTAGTAAGGGCGTGGAATGCCCTGCCTGCAAAAATAGTAGACGCACCCACTTTAAGGGCATTTAAATGGTCATTCGATAAACATATGGATGATAATGGAGTAGTTTAGGTTAGATGGGCTTCAGATTGCTTTCACAGGTCGGCGCAACATCGAGGGCCGAAGGGCCTGTACTGCGCTGTAATGTTCTGTGTTCTATGTTCTATGTTCTATTACACAAGAACTTTCAAAAGTTGATTGGGGACGGATGTTTTCAGGTAAAGGGACGGCTGGAAAATGGGATAATGAGAGTCCAGAGACAGTATGTTCCTGTTAGGGTGAAGGGCAAGGCTGGTAGGTGTAGGGAATGCTGGATTCCTAGGGAAATTGAGGTCTTGGTCAAGAATAAGAAAGAAATATACGTCAGGTATAGATAGCAGAAATCGAGTGAATCCCTAGAAGAGAATCAAGGCAGTAGGAGTATACTTAAGAGGGAAATCAGGAGGGCAGAAAGGGGGCATGAGATAGCTTTGGCAAATCAGGTTAAGGAGAATCCAAAGGGATTCCACAAATACATTAAGGACAAAAGGGTAACTAGGGAGAGAATAGGGCCCCTAAAGATCAGCGAGGCCACCTACGTGTGGAACTGCAGGAGATGGAGGAGATACTAAAGGAGTATTTTGCATTAGTGTTACTGTGGAGAAGGATTAGAAGATAGGGAATGTGGGAAAATAAATAGCAACATCTTGAAAAATGCCCATATTACAGAGGAGGTGGTGCTGG